ACCATTTTGAAGATCTTATGATTTTCAACCCTATGTCATGGCTTTTTTTGACAGTGTTGAGAGTGATTTTGATATCCCAGAAAAATGAGAAAGGAGAAGGAGAGGGAAAAATAGAACATAAAAAAACCCCTATGCCTTTTCACCCCTCCAGTCAACTAACACATCTTGGAAGCTCTGTGCTGCGAATGAAGACACCCCAGGGGCTGAGCAAATTTGTGCAATGAAAGATTCTGGAGCAGATCACCCAAGGTCTCACTGACTTTGGCAGCACTACAGAGGTCATCTTTTCACATGAATGAACAGCTCTTGAGCAATTTTATAGGCCAATTTCTCCAAGTTATTAAGAACAAAAGGGCTAACAGCAGGCAGGCATAGCTGTGAGGTTGCTACCTTTCTCCTCTCCCCATCAGAGGGCATTGTCATTGTGAATAAACCCAAAGTCACTGAATTTGTCAAGCTCAGGGCTCACCAATCTCATTTACAAACTCTCAGGGGAATACAACAGAATGAGGATTTCATTCCAAAGGTTGGTATTTCTTACAGCATCTCTTCTCAAAGCTTTTGGATGCCACAGAACATATTGTTGTTTCAAGGACTGTTTCTGACCTATAGAAAATTGATAATTGTTATCAAACAGGCTCCAAGGGCTGGTCCAGTCCAAGTCTATCTTCCACTTCAACACTCTTCAAGCCAAAGTAAAAATCCTAAGAAAGCCAAAGCAATTATCACAAGAAGAAGCAGGTACAGTAAAGGACTTGGTCTGATTTATGCAAGAATTACGAGCTCCTTCAGTCTCAGTAAGGTTCTTAACTAGCGAGAGGTAAGAACACACTTTTGTTTTGTAGCCAAGACCAAGTCTCTGTGCTCTACCTTAAACAGAGAGCGCCAGTCACAGGGATGGTGGACAACTAGATGCCACCGATGTTAGACACCCCAGTATGGTGTTGAGTATCCAAAACAGATGCCAATTATGTCAAACACTATTTTATACCATCCCATTTTCATGTTGCTCAACCTTTATTTGTCCTGTACTTTTGCAGATACTGTGGCACACTGAGTACCCAAAGCATCTCACAGCAGCTCACATCTCCCAGCAGGGTCGGAGCTGTATTATTACAAACAGGAATTTACACACATTATTCTTAAGAGCCTATTCAATATTATCTTTATAAAACATGGCCACAGCCTGAAGATGCACGATTCAAGTATTACTTTCAGTTGAAATAAGCAGTTCTATTGCAAGAAATTCTGATTATGGCCATGAAAGAATAGAGAAAGTGACCATTTACAAGAAGGAATTAACATTTTCCATATATTCACATCTGGCAAGAAAAAAAAAGTTCAGTGAGTACTGAGAGTACCAGCACTAATAAGCTGAAGCAAACTATTTGCCACATAGCAAGCACAGGAATGAATTGGCTCCCTGAGCCAATTTCTTTCTTACTATAGAGCTGTTCTCCAGATTCCCTCCAGTGCCTGCTAAGCAGGGTTGGCTTTAAAATACCGATTTATAAGTAACAAATTTGCCTTACTGCTTGTTCTTCCACCTAAGAACTTACACTAAGAAATGCAACACCTCTGAGATTCTGCTGCTCATCAGAATGTTTCTGACATCCAATTTTCTGACTCTCTCAGGCTCTCCAGCATATCTATTTTAAGTCTGTCCTACCCAGAATGAAGGTGCTTCCCAGGCACATTGCCACATTCATGGCACGCTTCCATAAGAACATTTTGTTGTCAGAATGGGTGTAGGACTTCCACTCCTGCTGATATGGCTTGTGCACATGTTGCAAGAACAAAATGGGAGGAAATGTCTAATGAGCTTGGAGGAGAGCTTTGCATTGCAACATTCTCACTAATGAAGGACGTGAGCTTTTTAAATATGATGGATTTTTTTCACTTAAACAAGGAATTCTATGAGTATTTGAATGGAAGCAATATCCAGAAAACTGCCTGCTCATTCTTGCCATGCCCCTGAGCTAGTTACTTAAGAATAACGCTTTCTGGGTGTAATTAAGAAGTCATGACTAGCTATTTCCAGTTTAATAGGGTCTTGCACGTGATGAGGACTGGTTTGGCAGCCATGTCATAACAGGAGGTTGTTATTCCAAGACACATCACACCCCGTGCCCACACACGTCCCTCCGCACCGCTCTTTGGGATTGCAAGAGGAACACCCATATCCTGCACTCAGGGCTCTCCACCATTGACCAGGCACTCAGTGGTGAGAGCTGCCCTTCTCTGTCATCGCAAACCTGAAACCTGTGGAGTTTGGGGACTCAAATCCAATGCAAGTGTCTAAAACTGCACCAAGCCCTGGACTTGGGCTCTTGCTCCCTGGTTCCTGTGCCAGGGATCAACTGCAGCTACTCCTTTCCACATTCCTCTCCTCCAGCCCATCCGCTGGCCAGAATAACTAAGTAAGCAGAGGCAAACAGCTGGTACCTCCCTTGTCCAGGACATGTGGGGGAAGTATTGCTTGTCAGACAGGGAAAAAGATAAAATCAACAGAGAAAAGGAGGCCGTTTCCTTGCAGGCATCACAGGAGGAGAAGAATTAAATGATGCTAGAAAAAACAGCAATTCTAAAACTCCCACTGAAGCTCAGATGCAGAAAAGCTGGGCTAGGAAGGATGGCCAAACCCAAACGCCTGCTCAGCATGGGATCAGATGTGCCTGCAGCTGTCCCAGCGTGTCCTAATCCAGCCCAGACCACAGCGTCTCCAGGCTGGAGACTCCCTGACCACCCCACAGCAGCCTCTGCAACAGCTCAACAGGCCTCACCACCACAGACACTTCCCTCAGCTCCACCCTCCATCTCCTGTGCCAGCGTAAACCAGTTATTTCTGGCTTAATCTTATCTCTGCAGCAAGGGCATGCAAAAAAATGTATAAATTTAATCCCTTGAAAAATTCCCCCTTGAAAAATTCCCCTCTTTGCAATTATATTTATGTATATTTGGGGACTTTTTATTCATCCCCCATCAGATTAGGCCACCATTGTCACAAGGCTGCGCACATAACCTCCTCCTCTTGTACAATCCTCCTGCTTTGGAGAGGAAACGGAAGGAAAATTGAGGCCAGGAAGGGCGAGTTTTTGTTTGTTTGTTTTTTAACATTTCCCCTGCAGATCTCCCTGCTTCTAACCACGTTTTCTTAGTTGTTCCTGTTTCTTCTTACTGGATCCAGGCTTTAGGAAGGGCTCCCTGAGCTGCTGGCTCAAAGGGGTTGTTTGCAGGGCTGTCCCTCTCCTGTGGCCCTCCTGGCAGACCCTCCTCTCCAGAAAGAGCCTCTGAAAATTAATTAGGTACCTGCTGTCCTGGGCTAAAGAGTCAGCCAGAAGCCTCATGAGATTTCGCTATAATATCAGCTCCATTCGGCGACCCATTCTGGTACTACAACAGGGTATTTTCTGCAAGATCATGATCAAAAGTTCAAGTTTTTAAATAAGTAATGAGATTCTGCTTTCAGTAATCTGTGTGCTTATTGGCTGCATATTTATTTATACCCTTCCCACCCCCCAAAAAATACATTCTTCTGAGAAAAGCAGCAGCACGTTGAGTTCTTTCTCCTAAGAAACATGAAACTAGAAGACTTAGTTTAACAACCCTGTGGAAATCATGCTCGGGGATGAAGAAGGAGCCCCTCACATTGCATTTCCTTGCCTCTCTACTTTATTTCTGTGCACATGCAGCTCCTTCCTGAACACAGACATGCTCCTGCCTTAGATTTGGCCACTTTTTAAATGCAATAGTGTGAGATTCGCTACCATGGCAGAGTGGCAGCTGTGGTGCCACCCGCAACACAAGGGCTGGTCCCTCACCTGCTTGAGGATGCCCCAGTGCCCGTGCCCTGCAGGGCTCTCGGCTGTGCAGACAGCACCCTACAACAGGTTCAATATTGTCTCAGCATAGAAACCAGACCATTACAGAACTTGCTAGCTGAGTCCTTTAACGATATTCTAGAAAGCTTTTCTTTTCTTTGTACATGGTTTTCAGACACTATATATGATTCAAAAATTTCCCTTTAAAGGCATTGTCAAGATTCCTCTAATATTTAGTATGTTTCTTAAAATTACAGCTGTGAATCTCTGCTTTCATCTAGAAAGAAAACTATTCTGGCCTTCTTCTATCAATTGTTCACCGTACAAATGTGAACACGGGTTTCCCAAGAGCCTGATAGTTGAAATAAGTTTAAAAAGCTTTTTTTTTTTTTTTTTTTTTTTTAGTGCTGTGATTTTTTAAATTGGTTTCACAACTCATGGAGCTACCTGCCACAGTTTCTTTAATCTATATCAATATTTCCTCCCCGCTGAGCCTGGGCAACATTAAACTGTTCCATGTCCGATTAAACTGCCTGGGGGAGCACTTTGTGACTTCATTGAGCTGCGGTATCAAAAAGTCTGCTTTTATGCCCGAATATCCGATGCAGGAGCAGCAAGGGGCACAGCCCTTTCTCTCGCCCGCCGCTCAGCAAACACCCACTGCAAACACACAGCACGAGCATGAAACTACCCCCATGGCAGCTCTTCTTCCCCATCTCCAAACACAATCTTCAGTCTGCCCTTGGGGCCAGAGCTCCTCACGGCCACTGTGTTACAGATGACACCTTGTTCTGGATTCCTCTCCTCCCCAAGGAGGAGCCTGATCTCGTTCACATTCCTCGTAGGAAGAATTAAATCTTCATTATAAACACAACATTTCTAACACCTTATGCAGCCCTGTCAGGCCACAGGCAGTTCTGCAACTATTTGAATTCATGGCACAGAAGCACTTCTTAGGAACACCGACATTATCAACAGAGCTTCAACAGCCTCTTGAGGCATTTCAGTAGATCTGAGAACACACTCGTGTCTTTTGATTTCTGATAAACCGAAACATTTCCCCTGGGGCTTAATCAGATAAAAGAAAACAACATAAAACCTCAAAAAGCTTTTTTTTTTTTTTAATGTATTTCTTCTTCCTTTCACCTCACTGCCAAACTTCTTTGTATTCCAGGTAACATTATTGGTTCTGGAATCTTTATTTCCCCAAAAGGAGTTTTGGAGCACACCGGCTCGGTGGGACTCGCGCTCATTATTTGGGTGCTCGGAGGAGGGATCGCTGCTCTTGGATCACTATGTTATGCTGAATTAGGAGTGACTATCCCTAAATCAGGAGGGGATTACTCCTACGTCACAGAGATTTTTGGTGGGTTAGCTGGGTAAGTGCCATATCTCTTTATAGTCATTTCAAAACATGTTTCTTTAAATATTTAATGAGGAAAAGACATATAATCCTGAAATGAAAGGGAATACTTGTCAAAAAAGTGCTTTCATAAAGTTATCATTTCTATTCGCACTAAAAGTACCCCGTTGTCCCTATGTGAGAATCCTGAATCTGCCTTTTCAGTGAAGGCAACAGACATTTTCTCTTACTGCTCTGACTCAAAAATCAATTACAGGAGAAATGGTGCTAGAAAGGGTGATGCTCTTGCATGTGTGCCATGAATTATTAGTACCTGGTATTTGAGAAGCTTCGTACATCAGGGAAGCAAGACTGCAGCTATTCCCTATAAACCAAAGCCATCCTTTAACCATCAGTTATGGTTAAGACAACAAATATTTCCTCTGGCTTTACATGGTCTTGAACAATTTTATGCACCTGCCTATAGGAAGATCAAGACAGATTTGCCCATAGAAGTGTGCTGGGTTTAGGGTGCTAGCTTGGAGCACTGGTTCATTTACCACAATGGTATAAAATAATATTGTAGCATAAACACAAAGAAGGGGAAATGCTAACCCGAGAAACAATTCATCTTTGTCAATATGGCTAAGAGCAGCATGGCAAAGGGAGAGCAGACAAGCAAGAACAGGTCTCCATGTTATATTTTAGTGCATTTTTATTGTATGCTTGACAAGAAGAAAAATGCATCTGCTGACCTCTATTCATAACTCAGTAGAGAAGCACCTAGGCACTTTGGCCAACGCAATCACTTGAAAGAAAAGAGGCTGTGCAATGTGCTGATCTTTTATTTGTGAGGGAAATAAATAAATAAAAATGCACTTCATGAAGACCAGCATCAGGGAGCAGGGAGAAGATCCATTCTCCCCTCCTGTGCACCATCTCCTTTCCTGTGCTCACCGGGTCTCACTGGGGCCACCCAACACCCCTCCGTCGGCCGCAGGGCTCCGCAGCCGCCTCCTCACACAGCCTCAGGACAAGGCCCGCAGGAAAGGAAAGGGCACAAAATTCAGTAAATAAACACAAGTGCTGTCCCGGGAATATCGCTGCAAAGGAACCCAAAAAATCAGTTTTCACCCTCAGTTTCCCAAAAGCAAATGATTTTTGCTTTCTGGGACGGAAGGAAAGACAGAAGTAAAAAGCCAGATAAAGCGAGTCCTGGATTTAGTTGTTCCTCAGACCACTCTTGGCTGAATGCAGATAATTTGCATTGCACCAGTGTCAGGCTGTATGCTTACTATGAAAAATATACTTCAGTGATCACTGCACTCCGTTTGTCTGGGAACAGAACAGCTATGTCATCTCCCTAAGCAGAGGGCTCGGTCTTGCCTGACAGCATTGGTTTTTTTTTTTGTTTTTTTTTTTTTGTGCAATGAAAGATTGCACAAAGAGAAAAAAAAAGACATATCGTACAATCTGTATCCAAAAAGTACAACCTTGCCATCCAAAGAAAAATAACACTAGCTCCTCACTTCCAAAATGGCTTTATCTTTACTCCCAAGAGAACAAAATCATGCTGTAAGTAGGACAAAGAGTTGCCTTAGCCAAGAAGCTTTCTGGTGTGTTTTTGGGTACCTTAATTTAAAAGCAATTCAGAAAGCTGTCTTTCAGCAGGGAGTTATCAATGACTTTCTTAAAGAAGGTTTCAATAAAGTAGACCTGGAATTACATCCTGCTGCTCTTTGCTAAACCCACCACCTAAAGCCTGGAGTTTTGGGGAACATTTACAAGTATTTTACATTTTCTACTTCAAACATGCATGCTCTTCCATCTGCACCTTGGTACCCACATCTTTGAGCTGAAGCAGCTTGGGAAACCTCTCCTAATACAAAGAAAACACCCCATCCTCCCAAACTTGAATTTTCTCTTCTGATTTATCCTCACTACAACAAAGACTATGAAATTTAACACGTCAAATAATTTTCTGAACAGTTTTGCCAGTGGCAAAGAAGAATAGTTTGGTCTATTAACACAAAAGATTTTATTACAGGAGCAGGTGAGGTACCAGACTCAGACATTATCACTTCCCTCTGCCACCAAGCCCCTGCCCAAGGCCAGGGACCAACAACCCCACTGGGGACCTTAACAGGGCACCCAAAATATCACCAAAAGCAGCAGGGATGGTGAAGATGAGCACAAGCACCAGGCAGCACTGAGACTGCACCTGCCTCCAACATGGACCTTGTCTAGGGAAGGAGATGCCAGCAGCTCCCGGGAGCCAATTCAGAGGGATGGATCTCATACCCAACAGCAGATCCTTTGCCTTTATTTTCATTTAGCAATCACCTGGGTTTTAAGCAGCATTTGTATAGGAGCAGACTAACTGCAGGGAATTTATTATGTCCTCTATTGCCAGAGCAGAGTAATGGAACACGATGCATTTGCATACATATGGATTTTAATGTTTCTACAGGTCATAAAAAGTACATTACCCAAAATAGTAAATAATAGGCTTAATATGTGTCCTTGCAGAAGAGAATGAATAAATTTAGCTTCATGAAAGACTCATTAGTGCATTTCTGATAAATACAACTTTCCAAATGCTCAGCAATAACACTGCAAATAATGTTGCTTTTTCTTCCTCAGTAGTGATTGATGACTGAACCTATCATGGTCTTAACATAAATCATAAGTACTGAAGCCAACGGAGAGCTCTAATCCAAAGCTTTGATAAATGTCACCCCAGACTACAAGTAACACATGCTTCAAGTGTACTTGTACGTTCCCATTTTCTCATCGCTGCAAAGTCTCGAGTTTTCAGAAACAATAATTCTTTCAGCAATGTGAGATGATGTTAATAACAATGTAATTTCTTTGAAGTAATTCAGCCTTTTTTGCTGTAAGATGAACTGCAGTGCAGTCTATTTCAAACCATTTGCTTTTGTTAACAGTGCCCAAGCAGAGCACACACTGACTTTATTTTTACAAGCTCCTTTGATTCCACATTAGCTTATATATAATGCAAGACGCTCTTTGGAGCACAAGGGCAACACAAATACAGACTGGGTAACTGTTTGCACCAAGTTCTCCTCAAAATCCCAGCCACATCTGCCTCCACTACGCAGGTCCTGGTCCCCCAGGAGAGCAGGGCCATCACTTTCCACCTAAATAGCTGGGCCAGGAATGAGGCGCACGGCACCACTGACGCTTCAAACTGCTCCTAACCCAACGGTGGCTTCGCAGCCATGGCCAGACACCCTCCTCAAGACACCCTGGGGCTGGGGCAGGCAAGGTCTGCTCCCCTCCACCACCACCAGCAGCAATCCCCATCACCAGGGTCTTCCCCACAGAACTAGGCTTCAGCTAAAGCTTCCCTTAAGAAAAGCCTACGTCTTAGGCACACTCTCCTTCCCATTTTCATGCAACCTCTTATTTGATAATGTCACTGCGTTACCCTCTGCTAAAATTCTGCATTTACTTTAATTGGTATTATCAATCCTGCATGGATTCCAGTTCAGCATGAAACAAATTGACTGTCAGGAGTCTACTGAATTATTCACATTTCCATTAAAGTGTATTGTACCAAATACTAACTTTAATGCACCTTACTTTACAACACAGAAACAAGGGCCAACTTTGCTTGAAATATTCCTTTCAGAATCCCTTTCTGACAATGTTTTTACCTTGTTCCATTTCTCTGAGCTGCAGAACCTCTTTGGGAAGCAGATAAAAATCAACAGAGAGGCTAACAAGGTCCATAGGCAGCATCTCCACCTCACATAGGCAGGTGTGACTGCCATGATTGCCCCAACCGGCAATCAAAGAGGGCCCCCACAGCTGGGGCTGCTCAAGGACAACAAGATCTGAACTTAAAGCCACAAACAATCATTAAACCTGAACTCTGTCAAAAAAGAATCATTTTGGTCTTTTGCTCACATGAGGTGCCAGCAACTGAAACCTTCAGGCCCCCACATTTTGTACTCAATTCTTCTAACACTGACTCCCACCCTGCAACCAGGGTCTCCAGAACCACCAGAAGCGAGTGAGAAACAGCAAAGCAGCAGTCACCCAACGAAACTTCACTGAACCATAAATGAAAGTATTGGAAACCAAGCAAAGGCATTGCTCAGAAATTAAAAGGAGAAAACATTGCATTTAAATATATATACACACTTATCTATATTGTGTTATTTGGGAAGGCAACCAGCTTTTGCATCATGCTGAACAGTTCACATAATTAACTTGAGGGTAGTTAAAAAGCAAAACGAAGCATCATACTTCCCCTTATTTCTCAGCAACAACAAACACAAGCAAAATAAGGAGCTGGGAAACACTCACCGGGCAGGAAAGAGGAGCAGGCAGGCAGCAGCACCCCAGGCGAGCCCTGCTAAGGAGCATGTTCCCTCCATGGCCCGAATTTAAGGGGCCAGCCCCAAGAGGGGCCATGGCCACGGGCAGCCTGGGTTGGGTGGCCCGGGGTGGGGATGAGTGGCCCATGATGAGGATGGCTGTGCCTGACTTGGGTGTTAGGTTATTTCACTTGGTGGTGTTGCTGGTGCTGCACAGCCTGCATGCTGTGCTTGTGCACAGATACGGATGAAGAGGGGTGCCTACGTGTATATATATTATACATATAAAATATATATATATATATGCATAGAGACATGTCTGTGTGCCCATGTGTGTGACAAGAAGCATTTCACTTTCTTGAAGCCACTGCTTCTCACCACAGAAATAATAATATTTTAGAAGGAAACCAGAGTATTTTAAACACAGACTCCATTGCTACACTTAAGAGAGGGGTTTCTCCTTTTCACCAAGCTGAGGACAGCTCTGGCCTGGGACACGGCTGCGGCACATCTGTGTGTCACCCACGGCATGGCTGTGTGTCACCCTGGCGCATCCCCACGTCACCCCCACACTGCTCTCTCTGCTCCTCCTGTGTCCCCAGGTTCTTGCTGCTCTGGAGCGCGGTGCTCATCATGTACCCCACCAGCCTGGCTGTCATTTCCCTGACATTTTCAAACTACGTCCTGCAGCCCGTCTTCCCGAACTGCATCCCACCCTACAACGCCTCCAGGATCCTCTCCATGGTGTGTTTATGTGAGTATTTACTTCTTGGGCACATGAAGCCTGGCCTGGCTTTGCCCAGGAGCCACGAGCTGGGATGGTTCCCCCCTGGAACAGTCAGCCCTGATCCCAGCAGGAAGCTGCTGGCGCTCATTTCCCTGCTGGCTTCCCAAGCCAAGGACAAGCCGGGGCTGGACCACAGCTCCTCAGGGCACATGGGGACAAGGGACCCCCTGCCCTGTCCCTGCACACTCAGCCCTACACACAGCTCCCGGCAGCTGCCTCCCTGCCTGCTCACTGCCTGGAATTTTAGCTCTTCCCGAGATGTGTGCAAGTGGGAGTGCATAAGAGGCACAACACGCTACTGGCTCCGAGTTAATTACTTGGATAGCTAGTGAGAGTGGATCAGCACTAACAGGAATTAAGACATCCACCATTTCCCTCGAGAAGCCAGAAATCCCTCCATGCAACCGGCACTTTGAACATTAATCAGGCACATTTAACAGAGCCCGGGGAAGCCCCAAACAGCAGAGCACGGAGACGGGAAAAGCAGCTGGCTGCAAGGGATCCCTCCTGCAGATGCAAATTTCTCCGGAAAAAGGCATTTTCCCTCTCACCCTTGGGCATGGCCAGCCTAAAGCTCCCTGTAGAAATGCATGCGCCAGCCTATGTTTCTTAGTGCTTTTAATGTCTGTTCTTGAGTAAGCTCACTGCTTATTCGATTCAGAATGTGCCTGACCTCAGCCTTTGCTCTGCAGTGCTGCTGACCTGGGTGAACGGCTCCAGCGTACGATGGGCCACGCGCATTCAGGATATATTCACCGCAGGAAAACTGCTAGCCCTGGCTCTTATCATTACCGTGGGCTTCATACAGATCTTCAAAGGTACCTGCAGCCTGGCCACTTTCACACTGCTACGGTGCTCCTGACTTGACTTTGCCCCTGCCAGCGCACTTGCCACGCTGCTTTCCACCTATATAATCAGACAGGATGAACTCAGGATTTCTAGCAGGGAGGTTGCAGGGAGCAGGGCACCGGCTGCCTCCTGCAGCCCCCAAACCCACTGCCACCCACGCTGGACACACGCAACCCACCTGAGAGCCCGTATGAAAGGACAAGGGCAGGTGCATCAAGCTGCATCCCATACATGACTAAGGATGCGGAGTCAGGAAAGGCAGGAGGAATCAGCCGTATCCTCCTCATACAAGCTTGTTTCTGGGCTGCATCGCTGTTTCTGGTCAAATACAGGGCTGCACTGACAAGTCAGGGATATTGCAGTAGGTTTGCAGAAAACTCATAAGCAGTTGCAGCATCCTCAAATTCTACTGCTCTGGGTTCTACTGCATTGAATAAATGATGTTGGGTCCGGCTCAAGAAGACACCTAGCTCATTTTAGGCCCAGGAACAGTCCAATTTCCTTAAAAAATTCACTTTGAAAATTAAAGATAGACCAGTAAATGCCTTGCTGATTCATTAACTTAATGAAAAGCACAAAACACAAAAGGCTTATGATGTTTTTGTCATGTAGATAATGAGTCACATAAAAAAAAAAAAAGAAATATGACATTTACAGGAAAGCAGAAAACTTTTTTCTTAATGGTAATAGTCCCGCAGTTTTGATAAAATCACCCAGCCCCACAGATATTTTATTTTTCACTATTTCTGCAAAATGATACAAAAATCCTGTAAAGAAAAACTGCATTAAAAGCAGGCAGAACTTGACAGCTTCAAGGAGTTGTTTTGCAAAGGTTGCTGCAGGGTCCTGGTCAGGAGACTCATCACTGAACTACTTTAGCGTCATGCAAAAAGAGAGAGAGGTTTCCTGTCCTAATTCCCGTCACCCCTCCTAGGCAGCGGGGCTCTCAGACGTAACCTCTCACTTGTGCTCCGTGCCCAGGAAACTACGAGGAGCTGGCACCAAGCAACGCATTCAAGTTCTGGATGACACCGTCCGTGGGGCATTTAGCCCTAGCTTTCCTCCAAGGCTCCTTCGCGTTCAGTGGCTGGAACTTCTTAAACTATGTGACAGAAGAATTAGTTGATCCCCGCAGGCAAGTATTCATTTCTGTGTGATCCAAACCCCTCTGAGGCACTGGAGCCATCTGTTAATATCATCTATGAAACAGGCTGTTATTTAGACCAGGTAACAGTTAACTTAAAGAAATACTAAAACTAAGAATGTATTGCACAAATTGCACTACCTGCACCAGAGTAACTTATGTACTGAGTTTCATCCTTATGGCAAATTATACATTGCTTATATAGTAGAAAATTAACTGTTGATGAGATACCATCCAAATCTCTGTAGGGAGAGTCACAGGCTGCTGTTAGAATATTTCTGAATTATCCTGGAAGTGTTTTGTTTTTTCACCCAGAGGGAATCTTGCACCTGAAAGAGCAGATCAGAGAGTCCCAGCGCAGTGGCAGGTGCTCTCCTGGCCACGTCCTGCCTTGGGGACAGATTTGTGAAGCTGCCTTTGCCCTCGCTGCTGCCCGCAGTGCGGCTGCTGGCCTCCCTGTGCCAGGGCAGCGATGATAACACAGCCGGCAATGGGCTCTGCAGTGATTTATCACCAGCAGGCTGGATAAGCCTGGGGCAGAGCGATTTTTGGTTTAGTAAAGCAAAGCTCAAATGTTGCAGCATTTCTGAGCTGATAAAGAGGAATGATGAATGCCACGAGCGGCTCCTGGAGCTTCAGTGACTGACGGGCGCTCAGTGCACACAGCAATTAGACAAGGAGATATTTAAGATGTTAAACAGCCTGGCTGGGAATAAATTAAAGCTGCAGTATTCCAAGCAGCGCCACACGTGCCATCACATTTGGTAAAATATAGGTGCGATGCTGTGTGTGCACAGAAATGTTGGGGTGAGGAAAGCCTGGTAAAGTGTTCTCTCAAAAAAACACCAGCACTTTAAGGGACTGCCACAATATCAAATACCAAATAATGAAAAATTATGACTTAAATAAGGCATGTGTTGCCTTATTTGAGAAATAATAAGAAAAAAGGATTAACAGACTTTTCTATTATTTCAGCCTTTGAAAGTAAAGATATATAAAAGTAACTATATAACCAAAAATAATCCTACTTTTACTAAATCACTTCAAAATCAAACAGTGTATAATGCATATTTACTTATGTTTTCTTTATCTGACATACATTAAAAAGCACCTGTAACTACTTTAAATACAGGACTGTCTAAGCATCCAGTTCTAAATACAATCTCTGCATTGGCAGTTAAGTAGTTCCTTAGGACTGAGCGAGGTTGCAGTCCCTGAGCAGCCAAGGCAGTGGCTTGGGCAGCAGGAGCCGAGTCCCTTGCAGAGCAGATGGAGATGAAGCCAAACACGGCATTTCACTCCACAGCTGAGGTCCATCCATAGCACAATTGAGAAACAGCTTTTTCAGTTTTGGCTAACATACCACCTGAATCCAAATTCCCAACCCAGTGTGAGCATGTGGTATCTTTTGTCCTACGGAGCAACACTTTCCAGACATGAAGTTTGGGACAGTTTTAGTCCTCCCCAAGCCGCTCGTGCTCTCGGTTGGCAGCTGCCTGAGAAACAGCAGATGAAACTCCCTGGGGGTATAAGCGTCCCCGGGCTGTGCCGGGTTGTTGTGCTCTGTCTGTGTCTGACTCTAAGTTCTTATCTACCCTCCTAATTCTTTTATTAGGAACCTACCTCGTGCCATATTCATATCCATCCCATTGGTGACATTTGTGTATACGTTCACCAACATTGCATATTTCACTGCCATGTCACCCCAAGAGCTCTTGTCCTCCAACGCTGTGGCGGTAGTAAGTAAACCATTCCCTGGATGTCTAAAATACACTTTGATTTCAGTTCTATGCTTTGCAGTATATTTCAGTTTCTCTGCCTTCTGTTGCTTTAGACATTTGGTGAAAAGTTACTGGGCTATTTTTCCTGGGTTATGCCAGTCTCAGTGGCCCTATCTACATTTGGAGGAATAAATGGATACCTTTTTACCTCATCAAGGTTAGATGGAGTACAATTTTATGAACATTATCTAATTTGGGGAGGGGCTGTTTTAATTTAATTTGCTAAAGAAATGCTAGCTAGACATTTTGGATGTTATAGAGCATGAGATCATGGTTGGGCATGTTGGATGCATTCGGTTATGAATTGCTCTGTGTCAATCAGCAAATGTCATATTCAATTGCAAACTCTCTTGCAAATAACCCTTATGAGCTACTGACAGTGTCTGCAGATATGGAATAGTTCACAGTGAGAGTCAAATGCTTCTTTAAAAATGGAACCAAAGTAATTCTGCATCAATAAAGTTGCAGTAGCTACAAGCTTAGCTGTGCTTAGCTCAGAAAGTAGTTACAGGGCCGTGTGCTGTTCCCAATTACAGACACATCATCCCAGCACCGGAAAATCCCCTCTCAGGCAAGATGTTATGAGCGCACACTGCTGATAGTGGGACTAGAAGCTATAAACTCCATTCATATTAATTGATGTGTCTGGACTTCATGAAAAAGTTCTATGTTTTTGTAAGGAAACCATCCAACTCCTAAGCATCCTGGAAAAGTTTTTTATCTTTGCTCTTTCACAAGTATTGTGGGGTACAGCAAATCTGAGTGCACACATAGCAGGCTATGCATTTAAAGATTAAAAATGTAAGACATGTTAAGCCTTAGCCAAAGTCCTCGAAATAGTTTCAGTAAAATCTTCACGCCTTGTGGTGCTCACCCTGCCCAGGACAAGGAGGATGTTCCTGTGACAGAGAAGGGACAGGTTTCTGTCCACAGCCACAGAGATGATCAGGGTTGAAGACCAGCAGGTTTTGCTGATTACCTTAGCAGTTAGAGGCCTAGTGTAAATAGCCCTAACTAGGCCCTTTTAAAGGCCTTAGTTTAAATAACTTATACCAGGTTTCCTAGGAAGTCTCTAGTGGAAATACGAAATGAATTGTGGTGTCCCCAGGCTCACACCAGCATGTAGCGACTACATCTTCCAAGGTGCTCCTTGGCCTCTTTGGAAGGTGGGAGTTAGAGGCCGCGTGCAGCTGGACAGCGCCGGGGCTGCCGCCCGCGGCGGACTCAGCGCTCGCGCTCCTCCTTGCAGGCTCTGCTTCTCCGGGGCCCGCGAGGGCCACTTGCCCAGCCTGCTGGCCATGATCCACGTGGAGCACTGCACGCCCATCCCAGCCCTGCTCGTCTGCGTAAGTGCCGCGCGCCCCGGGCACACCGGTGCGACGGGAGCCCCGCGCCGCCGGCTCGGCACACCGCGGGCCCGGTGCCTGAGCAGGGCGGCCCTGGCGCCCCCGATGTTCTCCAGCCTCCAAAACAATCAACAATTGTTTCGTTGATCAAAACAATTCCTTAATTACGTGCAAATTGCAGAGCCAACACAACATGTGGATTACTCACTTGGAGGTATTTTAAGGCATCTTGGCATAAAGAGCACTGCTAAGAAATACTAATTTCTTAACAAATAGAAATAGAGAAACACACCAAAGGCAGATGCAATGGCAAATCAGGTCAGACTTCAGGGAAACTTAATGAATATATTTGGTTCTTTTAAGGTTTCTAATGAATCCCCAATCCTCTTCCTGCTTTTTCAGGAAGAAAAGTTTTGGCAAGGAAGAAGGGCCTCCTTAGCATGTCCAGGGAGGCCTGTGTTTTTACTAATCCTCTCTCTCAAAAAAAAAAAAGACAGACACACACAATCAGGGGCCATAAATGACAGATATTTAACTGCCCTTTGCCTTGATTTGGGTTGGTTTTATTGCTTCTCAGCTGCCCTTTCTGCTGAAGGCTTAATGAGGACATGCTTCTCTCCACAGTGCTTGGCCACGCTCATCATCATGCTTGTTGGGGACACGTACACGCTGATTAACTACGTGTCATTTATTAACTACCTCTGCTATGGGGTGACCATTATAGGCCTGATCGTGTTACGCTGGAAGAAGCCCAAGATCTTCAGACCTATCAAGGTGAAAAGGGGGACACTGGACGTCCTGGTTGCAGCAGCAGTGCCAGGGGTGGGACACTCGCACCACGTTCCCTGTCCAGCTTTGAGGAACTCCTTATTTGGGTACCAAGCAGTGATGTTTTAAGGTCTCGGGCAACATCTCCCAGTGCCATCAGTACAAAAGCAGGATACCAAGACAGACCCTAGGTGAAAGATTACTGGGACTGATGGAAGAAAGACAGAGGTGAAGTGAGGCATGCAGGAAGGCCCAGGGTTAAGGCTAGGCACAATGCCCTCAAGATTTGGCCATGTTCTGCTCTTAATTGTGGTGGTTTAAGGCCAGTGCTTTTGAATAGGCAAGAACCATGGTGGTGCAAGGCTGCTGCCACATGTCCCATCCCATCCCATCCCATCCCATCCTCCGGGGTTGGCCGGCCGTGGCAACCACCTGCTCAGCTCTACTCTGCTCTCTCCTCTCAGGTGAACCTCCTCATCCCGGTCACTTACCTGGCATTTTGGGCTTTTCTGTTGATCTTCAGCTTATACTCAGAGCCCGTTGTCTGTGGCGTTGGACTTGTTATCATTTTAACTGGAGTGCCAGTGTTTTTCCTCGGAGTCTACTGGAAGAACAAACCAAAGTGTGTCAACAGGCTAATAGGTAAGCACAAGCTGTGCTCCTCACCACAGGTACACAGGGGCTCCTCTTAACCTCCCATGACTCAGCCGACCCCTTCCTGGGAACGGGGCGCTTGGTTTTTCCATCACGGTCCTTTGGGCAAGAGCCTTCCCTGTGCCAGGGCTGCCCAATTTCATCCTGCCCATGCTCTGAGTTGACCTGAGCCCAGGTTCTCACGCTGCCCCTCAGGAGAGCTGCGGGAAGGGCATTAACCCGTGGGCGTTTGCTCTTGCAGAGTCGGCGACGTGCTGGGGCCAGAAGCTGTGCTTTGTGGTCTACCCGCAGCGGGGAGGCGCCGAGGAGGACGACGTGCGCAGCGGGGCGCCCGCCGGGAAGTAACGGAGCAGCCCCAGGCCCGAGGAGCTTCTTGTTTACATGCTGATTTTTGAAAAAAAAATATTAAGAAGAAAAAATGTTTTTCTGGAAATGTTCTTAGAGATCCAATAGTGAAGCCCGTAAAGTGAGCTACATCCTTTTTGGCATGGGTAGCTTCTAGGTTTTCCCTAAAAAGAATAAAAGAAAGAAAAAAAAAAAAAAAAGAAAGAACAGAAAAAAAATAAAAAATAAAATAAGGCGCTGGTTGTTTTTTTCTGACAGCGTACTTGCTTGGCAGGGCAGAGCAGCACAGGTTCCGCTCTGAAACCTGCCCTAGCTGCCAGCAGGGCCTGTGAGGGGCACAAAGCCAGGCACTAGGGCAGCCCCAAGGCAGACGCGCAGGGCAGGCCGGGCACCGGGCACCGCTGCCGCCCTCCTCGCCGCGTCCCCTGTGGCATGAGCCCCAGCAGGGGCAGGGGCAGTTTCACGGCTCTAGCTGCAAAGAGCAGAACTGCAGCGGCCCGAGCTGCTCCGGTGGAGCCCGTGCCGCGGATGCGGGGTCATCGCTCCAAGCAAGGGCACCTGAGCACGCTAGGAGCAAAACGTGCAACGTCACCATTCACACATCACTCGGTGACATTAAAAAAAAATAGTGACAAAGTCTCAGGAAACCTCATTTTTGACATTTTTGCAGACAAGGAGCTGGGTTTCTGTATTGAGAATTAAAAAAAACCTCATTGCAATAATTCTTCGAAGCTCATTTTGAACCATTTCTTCAAAGCTCAGTACAGCGCTGCTGCCAACGGGACGAAGGAAAGAAATGTCCTGGCGTTTGTTGAGGCTAGAGCAGTGGGAACTGAAGGAATAAAGGAACCAAACCTGACATATTGCTCTCTTTTACTAATGTGTCAGGTGACGCTTCACATTTCTTTGAAGACAAATCTCGCATTTCAAGTATGTTCACTGAAGTAACAAGCCTAAATCATTCTCACATCAGATGCTCTTTAGAAGCTGTTCTGCATATTTTATTTGTGGCAAACCGATAAAAAAAAAAATCTAGTTCATTATTTAGCTAATTCACAGAGATCTGCTGTTGTAGCAATATGGCCATTTTCATACCAAAGAATCCTTTGAAAATATAAAATCATAGACTAGCTCTAGGCAATATTCTCAGTAACTGCTTTTCTGTTGCAATTTCTGAAAGCACAGATTAACAAATTCAGTAACCTTGGCAACAGCCATATGAATTTAATTTTAAAACTATTTTTCTGTATATTACAGGCCTTTGTACAAAAATTAAGGGTTCATTAATCTCTTAGTTTGTCAAGTACCATATTCTTGACAATACATTTAAATTTAGACTCAAAACATGGTGCCAGTTCAAGGAAAGCATCTTTCCGATAGAATTCAGTATCCATCCATATCTCTTCAAGCTCTTAGAAGGTACATCCTAAAAAACACAATTTACATTCTTATCCTAGTATAAAGCTGCTAATCAGAATAAAATATATATTTAGCTAAAGAAAATGGTATATTTTGGGGTGTACATACACACACATTTAAGGAGAGACTCTACATTTTAAATAATGCTCTGAACTTGTAAAGTTTGCTAATGAAAGTCACATTCATTCAGGCATTTTCTTTTAATTGCCTGCACATCCATCACCTTTATATCATTCCCCAAACAGTTTACCTGTGTCCAAGGTCTCCTGGACAAGTCTCTTACTTGCCCTAGTTTCAAATCCACTTCCTGCAGTATAATTTGTAATAGCTTAATTTCTCCAATGTCTTTATTATGTAGCGAGCAAATTGAATTTAGTATAGCACCAGCAATAACGATCGTTTTCAGAATTGCCAGGCTTTGGTGTGGTTTTATTTTTGTTTGTTTAAACAATGAAACTATGGAACCAGCCAGCATTGAGAATTTTTCTTGAGACAACACGTCAGTATTGTAATGAGAAAAGTAGTAATAATAATAATAACAACAATAATAAAGATATACTGTAACTGCTACTATGGTTTTTCGAGGGTTTTATTTAAGAAAATCAAAAAGGGAAATAAAGGACCAATTGCTTCATAGCTGTTACCTGGTTTGGGGTCAACCTTTCCCTGATTGTACTTTCATGCTTTGAAATAATCAACATTTGGCCTTAAAAATCAGAAAACTGAATTTAGAACAGATTGCTTTTGCAGAGCTCAACTCTATCGATGCTTCCCTGAAAGCTGCTCCAAGATGTCTTATTTCATTTTTAGAAGCAGCTTCATCTGTGCTTCCAGCATCACATAAATTATTTTTCAAGGGCTTTGCAGAAGTTAGTTCCTAACATCCATGATTTCCAATCGTAGAAATCAGCGTGCAGAAGCAGACGGATCATTTTATATGCTAAGTGAAATGTAGCAGCACGCTCAGCCCTGCCTATGTACAATCATTCTGAAAGATGAAGCAAAAGGCCCAAAGGAGACATACTCACCATCACTTGAAAGCTCACCAAATGAAAGAAAAGCTCAACAGTTAATATGACAAAAATGTCAAGAACATTATGCTACTTGATAGGGAAAAGCAAGTAGCTTCCAAAAGAAAGGCTGTGCTCTTTGAGAACCTGTAATTTTGATGGACTTGCTGCAGTCATTAAAACACCCCCTGCTTTTCTTCCAGAAAGATTTCAGCTTTCATTTTATTGACATATAAATCACGATAGGCTGTATATAAATTCTTATGCTCTGAAGAAGAAACGTTAAGGCAAAGAGGATGATACACGGTCTGTGTCTCAGCTACAGCAAATGCATTTACTTCTCACCTCACCAGCATCACTATCAAAGCGTTTCTCATTTTTCACGCTCTCATTTGTGAATTTTTGAAACCTTGAAATTGAAACACGTTTGCTTTCTGACTCTTTCGCTCCAACCACAAAAAGACAAGAAGTTAGCAGCTGTTGAGCTGCTGAGCAGGTTTTTAAGAGAAGCTGATGCATGTTGCATGTGAAAACATTAAAAAAAAAAGAAAAAGTTGACCTTGTTGGGAAATTGCCTTTTTCTGAAGCAACCAAAACACTTTTCACCACATGTGAGTCAGTGCTCTAGCACTAGCTACATGAGAAGTGATCTTTTGTGGCATGGATAAACAAGAAAGGCAAATCCCACAACAGGAGGATTCATTCAGAACAGGCCAGGAGAGACGGTTGGAATTGGAGGCTTGCATGACTTTTTCCTTGAAGACTTAAGACAAGACACAACAAAAGAATATGCATGAGGCAGAAAACGTGGGGAAAAAGGGAAGAAAAAAAAAAAGAGGGTGAGAATAAAACAGAAACTTCTTCCCTCCCAGCAGCCTTCAGGATGATTTCCTCTGCAGCCGAGAACACAACAGCCACAACCTGGAGAGAGAACGGCCCGTGTAACTGCGATGGCAGCAGGGCCACGGGCGGCGCTAGGCCGGCTCTGCCGCAAGCCTAAAGAGCGAAGCTTGCCAAAGCTCCTCCTGGCCCCTGGGCAAACGCACGCGTGCCTGACGGCAGAGAGCACGGCGACAGGGTGAGAGCTCATCTCCACGGCAAAGAAACGTACCGACAGGTACTGCGGGTATCCCCGGGCACGCACGCGAACGCTCACAGCAGCTGAGCTCCCCGCGCCAGGCCCGGCCTGGCTGGAACCTCTTCCACGTCTACACGGGACACGCTCGGGCTGGGAGCCCCAGTGACACGCGGGAGCCCACGGCCTCCAGGCATGTGACATTTTATTAAAAATTAATGAGATCAAGAGCAAAGTATGACGATGCCCAGCATCTTACTTGCTGTCCAGGAACCAGGAAACATTAGTAGTCATTATGCCATACCCGAACCATAGATCTGAACATACATTATGGCAAAAGGTTGTATTTCTATATATATATATAACATGTAAATAAAAAGCAAAACAGAAATCAGAAGGAAAAAGGTTTGCATCTGAGAAAGATTACAGAGCCACACACAAACTGCAAAATGATCATCTCAAACACAGGAATACCCCTAAGAGTCAATTTTCCCTGGATGCTGCCCAGGAGCTTCCATTTTTCTAAAATTAAGGAGAAGTTCAGGATTCTTCTTTATTCATTTATTTCTTAGGCAGGTTTTTCAGATTATTTGCACGGGAGAGTTTTGCAGCACATATATGTGTATATATATGTGGACATAAACACATATAAATACACATACACTACATATAAACATAATTCAGGATTTTTTCTGTCCATGAAGAACTTAATTTATTATTAAATCAGCAAAAATAACCAACACTTGCTAGAGTGTTGTGTTTGAGTAGCTGACAGACTTTAGGTCTTACAGCCATTAAAACGGGATAAAATTTCTTTGCACTCTCAAGCCAAACAAAGAAATCTTAGCACTGAATTTTTCCTGTTTACATTTCTGGCCTAGCAGCACTTTTTCCCAATAAAGAAGTTACAAATATAAGGAGAGGACTAACATGAAATAGAGCTGAGGTGACCTCCAGGGAAGGAGGGCTCACTGTATAATGCTTAAAAGCTGCAGAAAGGGCCGACTTTGTGGTTTCTGTCTGGTATCTCCATGAGGAGACCCTGCAATGCAAAATGTGCCCATGCCCCAGCACAAACAGGCTCCTTCTGCAAGCTTAGCAGGAAATGTGTGACTCCTCATTTAAGGAACAGGCTGGGGGAGGCAGGAGAGAGTATTTTATTGCAGAATACAAAAGTTATGTGCTTACAAAAAGCATTAGACTTAGGTCATTTTGCAGGGCTATAAATTTCAATAGTGAGGGTTGTGAACAGTTCTGTACACAAGCATCAAATTTTCATTAACCAGGGTAAGTCTCTAAAACAAAACCTCCTCACTGGAATTTCCATCGAGTCGACAAATGGATCTGTACACAAAATATGTATATGTAAGAAATGATGTGACAATAATACAGAGAATACAGTGTTAGCTATTCAGAGCTGTACCCAAAATGCAGCAGTATTTTGAAGCACATATCTCATTTTAAAGAGCCTTACAGTGCTGATAATAATTTAAGGCATAGCATGATCAAAATGATTTTATTATAGAAATACATTTCTATAACAGAACTAAATATAAACTTATTTATAAGGTCCTTCATGTCTGCACAATATTAACCTTGAAATATAACCTTCCTTCCAATTAAGTTTACTATTTTATAAATACAATTCTATGCATTTAAAATTACCCTTCAAGCACAAAAAGAAAAAATAAAATAAAAATAAACCCCACAGCAGTAAAACCTGTAGCCTTAGACACAAACAGCCCTGGCAGTGTAATGACTACAGTACTTGACCTTTCAAAGGTGGAATGGACCTAGATGTTTATAAATGTTATGAAAGTAACATCTCTTAAAACTACATTTCCTTCAATGAAATAAATTCTGATCACAAAAACACTTAAAAAAAGAGTGAGCAGTATTTGTTTCATGTGACTACGATGCTTACTCATTACACATCTTGCCACACAACCTCTTCCTGCCATTAATGCTCTTAAAGAATCTGAATCTCCTGCTGCTGGAACACACACTATGAAAGCAATTTGTATCTGAAGGAAAAAAAAAATCAATGTAATTCTTCTGAACTACAGTTTGGTAGAGCCAAAGGCCTCTTCCTTGCTCTCTGTAAGGAACTCTCCAAGGGAGAGCCAGTAAAAAGACGCAGGACAAAAACACAGCCCATTAAAGGAAGAACGTCTTTGCGAGCTGCAGTAAGCTCACGTCAGTCGGGTCAGGCCTGTTCCCCCCGCGCTGGCCGGGGACGCGCGGCCCGCAGAGCCCGGCTCTGAGGTGACCAGGTCCCCTCTGCTCCCCGGGTTCCACTAAGAGCTTGAGGCACCTTCAATTCCTCACAGGGCAGCAATGCCATTAACGTCCTCCTCCATCTCTCCCCAAAGCAGTTCGGTTTGGCACTGCGTCGCGGGGAAATTAGCTGGGAGCCCCACTGGAACATGGCCAAAAGCAAGTTAATGGCAGAGCGGCGTCGGCAGCGACAGGGCCGAGCGTCGCACAGCACCGCCCGTCGCTCCCGTTCAGCAATGGCACTTTTCCTCCAGCTAAACAACTTGCTTGCGTTAATTACACTCTAAAAAACAAAAAGGCACCTGTTCACAGCAAAGTGTTGCAAAGTCCACACAGTGTCAGCTTAAAGGAGAAAAAAAATAACAAAAAACAAACAAAAAAAACCCTCAGTATCACTGATTTCAGTTTTTAAAAGAAAAGTTATTAAAAAATGATTTATAGATCTGCACCCAGGTAGCAGATTATACTTCAAAACAAAGCAGGAATCTGATCCTGACGGTTACCAAGTGCTCAGTGCTTCCTGTCAAGAGGAGCAGTGAAGCCTCAGTATCCCTCAGGACAAACATCAAGTGGTAGAATCATAAAAGTCCCTGAAAAAACAAGAGAAGAGGGGGAAAAAGAGCGTAGGGAGAAAGTAATACCTCATCCTTCACAGCATCACTATGAAAATAATGTAACAAATGACAACACAGAAAAGAAATATTGCTGCAAATGGGGCTCAATGCACTCCACTTATACTGAACACAGACAATCTCTTATCACGAAGTTCGAGCAGGTAAGAAACCTGATTTCATTCTGCATATGCTATAAAGCAACTTTGGTAATAGTGGATGTCTCAAGGTACATATGGCCATTGTAATATTTCTGGGGGGATGAAAGGAAGGGAGTGATTTCTGTAAAAGAAAGGAAGCTACATGGATTTTATTCTCTTCTATATTTTTAACTAAAAATACTGAATTGAATTATGATGTCTGGAAAGACCTTTTATTTCTAGCTTAGTACTCACAGTCAAAGATTGGTGCTTACCCCAGATTCCAGCAGAGTTCTAGTTTCAGTAAGACCACTCCGAAAAGCAAAGAAACACAAATTCCCTGAACGCAAGGTGAATAAATGCACAGAAGTAGTAACAGAGGATGGAGATACCTCCAAATTGCAATAACACATTCTTGCTCTCCTAGCCCCTGATATCACAAACTGGCCCATTTCTGCCCCACTGGAGTTTCAGGAACAGCAACAAAGACAAAAGTTTGTCCTGTTTGTTCTTGCACTCCCTGGGGAATTAAAGCACACTGGTTTCAGCAAAGTCGAGAGCACAGACTTACCACCAATAATCAAAGTGCACTGCCATATAAACAATGAAGTTACAAAATCTACAGGGCTGGAACAAAATTTTATTAGCAAACAAGTAAAGATTCATCATCACTGGTATTGATTTCTGAGAGGGGAGTAGGGGACTCTAACATTGGCACTTCCACAGAATGGCAACAAGCCGCACGAATACCCAAAGGCTCCTCCTGATAAGAGTTAGGGCAACATCGGTTTTGTCCATCCACCTGGATATGAACATTCACAGGGCTGTCTGAATACGCAGACCCCCACGCTTTTAAGGGTAACCTACATGGCTCTTCACTCAACAGATGACTTCTACTTGAACTACGGCCCTCTGGGACAGTCCTTCTGGATGCTGACCCTCCACGGGTCGTTTCTGCAACGCTTTCAGACAAAGGATCTCTGAAAGCCTTTCCTGAATCCACTTTGCTGGACTGTTTAAGCTCACTGCTAGAGCTCTCAGCACCTAAAGATTTATCAGTGTGTCCAGTCTCAGGCTCTGCAGAAGCAGCTGTGCAAGTACTAGATAAGACATCAGAGGGAGATGGTTCTGCAGTTTCAGTCTCTGTCTGCAAGCTGCTACATTCAGCTTCTCGTAGGCCCCTGGCCTGACCAGGGGCACCTGGCTCTGAATTAGGTCTTTCGGGGGAAGGCGGAGGGCTCCGAACAGCCCCGTCAGCCCGGCGGATGATGCCCTCAGCGGGGTTGATGATCCCGTCACCCAGCGTCGTCTGGGAGGTGCGGGCAGGAGTCAGGAGCGGGATCTGTCCTCGCGCCCGCGGCCTGTGGAAGAGTCTGCTCCAGAGCCTGCCCAGGCGCCGGCGGGAGGAGCTCCGCCTCGACGAGTGACGCCGCATCTGCCTCCTCACGGCTGTACGAATATTCTGCAGCACAGAAGCCTGTAATACACATAAAACAAACTATAGTTTCGTACAAATTTAAAAGACTTCCCCTAAAGCCTACTCTTTCCATTAATCCACTGATCTCTCTCTTCTACCAGGATTCTTAACCTTAATCCATCAACTTCCTTGTTAAAATGAAAATTTTATAATAAACAAGCTGCCAAATACGCTCCGCCTCTACCAAAACCCCTTCCCTACACATACCTCTACCCTTTAAGGGTTTTCTTAGAGCTTAACCTCTACTCGTCTGTCCAGTAAGATGCCCCATTCGTCCTATCTGACCACCACTAAGGAATCAGACTACGGTGCACCGAGGCCAAGAGCAGCAACACCGTCCAAATGTTCAAAAGTAGCCTCACGACTAAGATAGATAACCATGGTTCTTCACCACAAAGGAAAAACAACTTTAATAGGAGAACTTCCATTACAACTTCATTGCTGAAAGACTACAGATCCAGATTGACTTTATCTAAAATACAGTGCTCTGGCTGCTCATGGGTTCATCTGCACTGTCTCCATACCTGCGAGGCGTTGTACACGGGGAAGTCCTCCACCGGTGGGATAAGTCCCTGCGCAATCAGCTGCCCGTAGGACGGAGGAGCTTCCCGCCGCACAAACTCTGCCTCCAGCCGCGTCATCTGCGTCTCAAACGCTCTGCAACCAAAACGAGAGTTAAGAAGAGAGAGAGAAAAAAACAACAGTCATTTCGTCCTACACTCCCTGCATTCATGTAACAAAAGGAGGGTGGAGGAATTCATTGTAACAAGAAGAAAAAGACACACTCTCAAGTAGGTCTAGTGAAAAAATCTTATCACAAAGATACTAAAATATGTAAAAAGAGTAAAGGGTAAGAGTCAAGGAGTCAAACCAGAAAAACCTTTGGTGCAGTTCCAACTTGGATTCTGTGGTTAGGAAAGTTTTTCCAGTCTGGTTCCAGCTTACGCCAGTAACAGCATTAACTTGCTCAGCAAGGATCCAAAGGTTATTTTTGGAAAATACAACATTAAGAACTGGAAAGAATCACATAACAGGGCAGGCTTGCAGCTGCACAGAGCTCTGCCCTTCCTGCCAGGAGCCAGGCACCATCAAGGTTCCCAGCAGAGCACTGCAGCTTTTTCCAGCTCCTTAGTCGGAGTTGATCCAGGAGAGGATGTAGAGCACACTGTGCTGGAAACAGCACCAGCAGCACGGCAGGGAGCTAGGGGGATGTGACAAGAGGTGTCAGAAAGTCCCTCGCTGCTTTCTCCCATAGGATAAAATCACACTTGCACAAACATTCAGACACAGGCAGAGAACACACACAGTCTACACAGCAAGTGCAGCGGGATGGGGACAGAGGTTAGAGCTCACACTGACTGCTCAGCAAACACAACACAGCACGAGCAGCAACACACACCAGAGCTGACATCCCTCTGCTTCTGAAAAGCTAGATCTAGTGCAGTGACTAGTTAATTGTCATCAAATCCTTGAAGTAATTTCACTGTATTAGCCAAACGCTCTTGGACAATATATTTAAATAAATAAAAGGCTCAAGCTACTAAAGCATGATAGAAGCAAGATGTTCACCTGTATTCTCTGGTTCTTAGAGAATATAACTTAAACGCACAGCCCAGTGCTATCACCAGCAGCAAGCCACACACGAGACTCCCGATCAGAGCAGCCGTGATGACCTTCCTGGGCACAATCACTAGGCAGTTGTGTTCATCACTTCCATCCTGGCAGTCTTCTTGGCCATCACAACGCCACGTCTCAAAGATGCACAGATTTGTACCGCAATGGAAGTTTCCTGGCTGACAAGTAAAGCAGTTTTTTTCATCCGAGCCATCCGGGCAGTTCTTCTGGTTATTACACCGGTCAAGTATCGAGTAGCAAAGGCCACTGTTTCCTTCACACGGGTACTCATTCTTCTGGCAAGCGGGACAGTTCTCCTCGTCCTTGCCATTTGGACAGTGCCACCAGCCATCGCAGTGCTGCTTGTCTGTGAAACACTCCTCGTCACTGCCACAAGGGTGTTCCCAAGGAAGGCAATAGCCTTTCACCTGATACGTTGCATTGAACCCGTGGCCAGTGCTCTTGGAACGGGCATGATATGAGACAGTGAGTTGGCCCTTTGAAGACTCCACACTAACCGAATGCCTGTTGTTGTGATACGAAAATGTTTGCATTAATTTATCACCTCTTTCTCCAATGCCATCATACACCTTTACATAGTCATTGTAGCCTAACTGTAAATCAAGCTGCAACAGCACGTGTCGATTATCCTGCGTGTCCACGTACCACGTGCAGCGAAGGTCCGATCTGCTGTGATCCGCACGGAATAAGTCTGGGGAAGCAAAAGACCCATAAAAATTACCCAGCCTTTTACCACAAGAAAGATCAGGACAATTATCTTCATCTGACCCATCGCTGCAGTCTTTTACTGAATTACATCTCAGCTCGTTTGTCAAGCACTTGGTGGAATGGACTACGCTACACTGGAATGTTCCTGAGGGACAAATGCTGGATTGAGGCTCCGTTGGAGGGACAGTGCAGTTTCTCTCATCCGAGTTATCCCCACACTCATCCATGGAATTACACTTCCAAGTACCGGGAATACACTTTCCATTTGCACAGCGGAATTCGTCTGACTGACAAACAGCCTGACCTATTTTTCCTGTGAAGGAGGAGCAGAGAATAGTCAGTACTGAAACTTGCAGAAACACCCAATGACACATTTTAATAGTCTACTTCCCAGTATATCACAATTCAGTCTCCCAGGCCAGCATCCTTCAGGAATACTGAAATAAAGCCAAGCAGAAAAAAACACCCTTGTTACCATGGCCAACACCTTACAGTCATTAAGACCAGCGTAAGACCCTTGTCAATAAATACTGTCCTATGGGTTTGCCAGAGAGAACGTTAGAGAAGTGGGTGAAACTGCAAGGTTTTACCTCTAATATAAGAAAGGCGAAATCCCTGAGCCTGTCCTGAGCTTGATGCATCGGAGTGAAAAAATATCCAAACGTGATCCCTTGAAGAAATGAAAGATGGAGGTATGGAAGATCCACACACTTTGTACTCCTCCCGCTTGGCAGAAGGGCCAATCATCAACCAGTCTACTGCACATTTCTGAGAGTCTTCCAAGTCAAAGTTCTTAAAACTGTAGGGAACAAACAAAAACATGAGTAGAAGAGAGAACTGGAACAGTGCCAAACACGAGAGAAAAACAGGCTGTAATAGTTGACTTTCTGCACCAAGCAGTACTGACAAAAAGAGATTATATTTATAGATAATGAAACACGTACAGCACCTTCAGTACATGTAAACACAGCAGTCAAATTTCCCCAGTTTGGAAAGGCACATATCTCACAGGTATAAACAGTATGCCAAACAGTTCCGAAAGCTGAAGAGATCATCTCTTTCACTAGAAGCTCTTAAACAAACTGCTTCCCAAAACACAGACGTGGGTAAAGCACAAACTCCAGTACACACTATGCAGATGATTTCTTTTCCAATCTTAAAAAAAGTCTATGAATCTATATAGGAGGAAGGAGGGATGACACAAGGGAACCCTGTGAATCTATACAGGAGGGGGAAGGATGACACAAGGGAACAGTGCAAAGACTCCTCAGGAGATCAAAAAGTAAGACAGGCCCTTCAAACTACGGCTAGATAGGAGTGGAGAGGGCAAGAGGAGATGAGGGCAGCAAGGAGTGAAAATGGAATTGAAAAATCTCTCAAACGTTATCATTTTTTAATTGAAAGGCCAAAATATTCCCTTGCTAGGAATGCAAGCGCAGAGTAAACATATCTGCAACCTTTTACAGTCAAACATCCAGCCTTTCCACTGGCTCGAACCCAACAGCTACTCAATAGTAGATTACGTAGGGCAAAGAGGTGCCAAATTGTTTGCAGGACGCTGAACACAACCAAATGATACCTTCACACTGCAGCTCAGGAACCATGTAGCATATTTGCTCAGTCTGATTACACAGATTAGATTTGCATTCAGTAATCTGCAATGACAATAGCCACACACACACAGGCGTGTCTTACTGTTAAATGACACATAAATATATTTTGGTCCTCTTACACCTATACAAACAAGCATGTTAATTTTTTTTTTGTCTACTTCACACAAACACTTGGAAAGAACTTTCAAAATGGCTGAGATACTCCCACAAAATAGAGGCCACCTTCCACAAAGAACCTTACACAAAAGAAAAGAATTCAATGAAAAAGATAAATGGAAAGATAATTTTCTGTTATCACCATCTCGTTACAAAAGGCTGTAAAAGCCTGCCAGATCTTTCTCTTTGAAGCTGAAAGGGAAAGAGCCGCAACTAAGTAAACTAGTCAATGCATCTAAGTAGGAGCTCTAACCTACACATATGTATACCATATACTGGTGTACAAACTCTCCCTTGAATAGTAACAGGGCCCTAGAAGTGTTAAGTTAAAATGAAAATTGAGAGATGTCCAATAATTTAACACCCAAAAGATATCACTGCTCTTTTCTGCCTCTCTCCCATCATGCTGTATGTATCTCACCAACTAGGAAGGGTCATTCCTGTAGTGATATACATGGGAATAAATGAGACAACTTAGATCTCATGAAGCTTCTGAAACAAACAGATTCTGCCAAGAAGCTCCAGATGACTTCACAACCAGGATGAAAATTAAAACAACAATCACAGAAAGTTGGACTGAAGTTTTCCTGTCCTAGGTATTCTGGAATTTTTTTTTTTTTTTTTTTTTTTTTTTTTTTTTTATGACCAGGAAAATGTATGAGCAGCCACTAAAAATGAAAAGGAATTATATAAAGCAGCAGTAATAGATTATTGGCACAAGCAGTCTGAGGCAGCATTACTGAGCTAACCTATCAGGTTTGCTTTCTGTAACTCACTTTGGCACCAGAATCAAAAAGGTTTCTGTCATCTGCTTGGAGGACTATGTGCAGGGATTTCTTGTCATAAAGACTCTTTGGATAAACATTAGAATTATCTTCCTGCCCAGCAACAAGTTTTGTGAGAAAAGAGAATAGTTGCTCTGTTGCAATGAGGGGGAGAAGGAAAACTGTGAGAGACAGATAAGATCATTTACCAGCTCTTTTGATCTCTTACTACTTCTGTTATTTTGCATACACCAGGAACAACCTTAAAGAACTAAACAACTTGTTCTCTGGCCCTTCCCAGCTGCCAGCAGTGTCACAGGCCACTGACTTTCCCTGCTCTGCTGAAAAAAGCTCTTCCTGCCTCTCGTGTAATTATCTTGCACTTCAGTATTGCTGCTTAACACAGGCTGGAGACATCTAAGGGTAGAAGTTCTCCCTCTAAGGAGCTGTCTGCACCTTATGTTAAAATGCATTTATTTCTAAAAAAAAAAAAAAAAAAAGTGAATTTAAGATGCACACAGAGTAGAGAGGTCAACTAGGCTCCCTTTTGAACTCTTGTGCAGATGACAAGGCTAGATATGCAGAGCCTGCACATGCTTGTAATCAACAGCATCTTCTACTCACATGTTGAGAACTCCTTGCAGCAGCACATCACTAGCAGAGGGTTTGGGCTTATTATGAAGGGTCTGGATGACAAAGAAGCTTTAGCCCCACTTTCCAAAGCAGAAGCACAGGCATAGAGAAAATGATGGATTTTCCCCTGGGTCCCTTGCAGATCTAGAGCAGCCAGCCCAAACTCCTCAGCACAGAACTCCAAGCTTTACTCACAAACCAAGCACATGGCTGTGAAACAGCACCTACTCGCAAGGAAGCATCATCACTACAAGCCTCCCTGCAAGCACTAACACACAAGGCCTCACGAGGACGCCTTTACTGAAGCAAATGCCTTTGCATTGGCGAACGGCAATAGAGAGCATAAACAGGAATGAACTCCTTTCTCAGTAAGCATCTTAATCACATATCAATGCCTGGAAGTTTGAAATGCCACCGAATAAGCAAAGTTTTTCTGAAGTACGGATGCCCTAATTTTGATTTATATATATGCATATATATAAGCACAATAGACACCATGGCAGTTATAAGCACTTCTTCATGTAAAGGCAAAACCAAAGTAATTCCGTTCTCTCATGCAAACTGTAATCCCAGACATACTTTAAAAAGTCTTCCTTAAGGTACTGTCACCCCACTTCAATTCTTCCTGAGTCTTCCTGTTACGTTGCACTGTCTCCGGCAGAAGCAAGTTTTGCTCCTTGTAAATTGATAGCGATTTCAATCCAGAACAAAAATGTGATATTTGGCAGGGTCAAGCATCTTCATCAGACAAGATACTCCTTTATAACAAAATACTAAACAATATGTATACATTGGTGTGCAATATATAATTGTTTGCTAATGTATTTTTAAAAACAAAGTTTAATATGCCAGAAGTATTTCTTACATAAATCTGACCTTAAATAACCCACTGTTTTATTTTACTCAAGAGTTCAGAACAGTCTGTTCACTCTCTGCTGTATTCAGAAGCATTAACTCATTATCATCCTTCGGAAATGTCTCTTTGCTAATTCTTTAAAAAAAATACTGAGTATACAAAAATACACTAGCGTATTAGGTATGAGGAACATTCACATTTTGAGGATCAAAATAACTAAACGTGAGGGGAAAAGCACAGGACTAGATCTGTTTTTTACAAAATTCTGGTAATTCATCTAACGATACGATCCTGGAAGAGGTTACTTCCAGCACCGAGGAGGACTCCGGGGAGCTCCCTGCGAATTACAGGCTTGGCTACATATCACATCCTGCCCGTCACACTATCCTAATGAAGCAGCAGTTCCGCACAATGACATTTTCCTGCAGGCTTACTAGTGTTTGCATGTGGCTGGAAAGAACTTCATCAGACCAGCTTATCGTAAATACTCAGATCTGCTCTAACCTGCAGCACCAGTGCCTAGCAGAGCTAAGCTTTTCGCCATCTGCACAGGGAAGAACAATACAGGCTGGGAAAAGTTAGCTCTATAAATAACGTTGGGAATTCCCCATAACCCTCTTAAGTAATTTAGACACAAATAACTATAGATTAAAGACCAAAAAAAAAAAAAAGCTTTCTAAATTCCTGGAAAAGAACATGAGATGATCACGAAAACAAACAAGAAACTGTACGCTGTTAGAGGCCCAGCAGATGTAGACGCTGAATGAATGGAAGCAAATAAACAAGTAAGTGTCCAATTTGGCCCTCTAAACTCATTAAAAAATTGGAGAACAAATATTATGGGTAAATCAGTAGAGCACAGCCCCAAAATAAAACAGACCAGCCAATTAAGCGAGAGAAGTCACCGCTATTTGCCAGCCTGTTACACTAAGTGCAGGCTGTGAACAACTGATGACTTAATTGGCTCATTAAAAACTTCTGCTTAACCACTGAAGCACAAGGACCTGCAAGTCAGGAAATCTATTCTATTCCCAGCTCCGGAGCACCAACTCACTCAGTAACCTCAGGGAAGGGACAGCCCATTCTTCAGAAGCTGAGCACTGCAGCTCTTAATAAAATGAATGGCTGTTGGGGGGTTTCTTCAATCAACTTTAAGGCTTGAAATACTCCAAGTTCAGCATAAAACAATTTGAAGAAGCCTCTCTAGTTTGTCAGATAACATACTAGCAAGCCTTCACCTGAGCAGTGCTCAGTTTCACACAGAATTTTAAGCTCAGATGGTATCTGACAAAACAAACGTTAAAGCCAATGACATGTCCCTTCCCTGAAGCACAAGTCAGCGAAGGCATTTCCCCCACGCTCGACTCTTAAGGAATAGCTTGAGATTACTGCTAAGGAAGCAGTAATTGCTTTCACTACTCCATCCTCAGTTGGAAAATACTGAACATTTTACCTTTAGTTCCATAATGTCCTATAATAATGCTGCCCACTGCAGGTATAATAATACCTGCTAAACAAAAACATCTTTTTGTCTCATTTCATGAAACATACTCATACAAAGCCTATAAAGGCAGTTATTGCACAATCCATCTTTAACTAATCTTGCATTTTTCTTACATAGCCCTCTGAGAACAGATATAAAAGTAGAGGGAATGAGAGAAATGAAGCAACTTCTGTAGCAACAGACTAACAATCTGAATCCAGAATGACACAACATAATTCTGGATAACTGACGTCCAGTACGTAGCAATTTGCTCCCAGGTCTCAACAGCAAGATTCTGGCAAACCGACCAACTCAGAAGGAAGTACTGAAACATGCTGAGCCTGCAGAGATGCACAGGCAACAGGAAAATGTATTTCTCTTTTATTGTGAAGCCCTCCTCAAGGATAGGTAAAGTAAAAAGTAAACTATAATGCAAAACAGTAAGCATGGAATGTAGGACATAAAGAAAATCTATACAAATGTATGAGAGGTAGATATTAAAATAAAGTTTTTAAAGAACATGTCCACAGGCGACAGTATCTTTCATCCAAATGCAGAACTGGGTACTGTTCCATGGAAAGCTGCTGAATAATAAGTTTATTAAAAAAAATCATTATCGACTGCAGTGTATCTAGAAATGAAAACTAGTTGCAACTGAAACTTCATGCCTTAATGATTCTTCTTCCTGTATCCCCCTTACATAATATTGCTCTCTTACTGTCAATGAGAATTCAAGATCAAAGGAAATGCATTCAGTGCAACATTACACAAAGATTCTTTTTTTACCTTCCAAAATCCAGATCTTATCATACAAACTAATTTTATTTGACTTACCTGGGGAGGGAGGGGGAATACTCTTCTTTTGCCCCTATCAGCAAATTGTTTTAGTAAAAGTGCTTGTATTTGGACCCCACTTCCCAGTCTGCCTGGGAGATCACGTTAGCCTGGGCACGGAAGCTGTCCCCCTTACATCACTGGCTTTACCAGGGCTACAACCCTCTGAACAGTGTTAAGCGTGTGAAGAAATTCTCAGATGCTGTAACACTCTGCATTTCATATATCACTGCAGTGGGTCAGTCCAAGCGCATATACAGTCAGAAATGTAACACCACAACACATCTGCTGCCCACAAACAGCTCCCTCGGATGTAAGCACGTAACTCCCATTGTCTGCACGTGTGCATGAGAGCAGGATATGACTCCGTGCTCTGTATACAGGCACTATTACCAGTTTCCTCATCCTGCTTTCCTCTTTCTTGAGGCTTAGCTACATTCTCTTTGCAGAGGAGAATCCTAATCCTAACTAGGAGCTCTGAGATGATTTCACAGCATAAACTGCAGTGCTATTTTCAAGAGCAAAGCTCTGCGTCTCATTTATGTGCTTCCTCAGAGCTTCCAACAATCTCTGCTTTGAAACAAATTCCCCAAGCCTGATATGGTTTAATGGAGTTTAAAAGCACCTTTCTATTTTTGGATCTCAAATGCTGGCAGGTATCTGCTTCCCTACTCTTGATGAGTAGTTCCTATTTTGAACAACGGACAAAGGAGCCCTCCTATTATTCCATCTGTGGCAGATTTGTTTTTAATTGCAGAGCATCTGCAGCTGAAGAGGTATGCAGTCTTTTTAAGCAGCTGAGCAAAGGATGAGCAGATGGTGTCAAATACAGCAGTACTAAAAACAAAACAAAAACCCTTCCTAGTTTTTTTTTTCTTTTTCTTTTTTAAATATGCAGTTCTTGGTCCGAGGATACTATGATTAGCCCAGAGACATTATGCACATTCACAGTATATTGATAGTATAGCCTAAAATTTTTATTAAACCTTTCGGAATATATTATAGTCTTTTCTGAATTATATTTTCATGGATTCATGGAAAGGGCTGAAACTGTGCCACAAATTATAGCTATTATCTAATTCTGTGGAAATGAAAAATTTAGCAAAAAAGCACGCGTTTTGGTTGACAAGTAACAATAAGCAATGATTATCTTCCTGTAGCAATTACACATAGCACCATTTCAAGACATTATAGGCCAAGCCATTTTTGCTTTAGGAATCTTAAGTGGCCCAACTGAACAGAGGCTACTTCAGGTTTTATGGCCTTTACTCATTCCTATCTACAGGCAATGAAGATAATGAGGTCTATTTAATGTGAGTAAATATATCACTGTTTCCCAACTCCTCATCTATCAGAGGTGGATGAGATCTCACTTAGGTAATGTGAAGATAAATATATTAAAAGACAACAAGTGATTTACATGTATGTAGGGATATCAGAAGTAACCTACAAACAAGCTGGAACACGTCTAAAACGAGCGGTGCCTCTTCAAGACAACCAGCTTCAACTTCCTGTACTCAACCAGTCTACCTTCAAGTAGTTCTGACAGATGGCTTCATACCAGTGTATCAGATAACAACTCACACTGTTTCATTCCAGCAAAACAAGCCTTTATCTCCACAGAACATCACAAAACATACCTAATGGTTATCATGTCTCCACGATCTCCTTGAATGTACCAGCTGCAGTTTACAGCTGGGGGATAGTTCAGTGGCCAGGAAGGGCTGTAGATGACTCCCCGTCTCTCTGTGTGCTGTTCCAGTTCTCCACTGCAAGCAGCTGTTAATGAGGAGGGAAAAATATTATTGTTAATGCTTTACCTAATCAGCAATTCACGTTAGCTACAAGCACCAATTTCTGGGGATTGCAGACAAATGAGAGTCAATAATTTTATCCTCTTACCACTTTCTTTCCTGCCCTGGTTTTTAATTAAGACACCTGCTTTAAGGGTAGGTAAGCACAACCTGCATTTCAATGCAGGAGCAATCAATAACCTTGCACGAATCCACCAAAGGCTACAATCAATAATCCTGCACAGATCTGCCAAGTGGATGTAATACAAAAATCCTCTTTGCCAGCTTCCCAAAGCCTGGGTATGTCATTCAGCAAATGAAGGAGATCCATACTTACTGTAAGGTATCTAGAAGCTTATTTTGCTATAATACATTCCCAGATAGTCACACTATAACATGGTCCCAGGTAGTTGTTCATTCTCCTAACCATTAGCACAAACCTCAAGAGTTATAAATGGTTTTGAAAAAGAACTCCAACAACAACAACAACAACAAAAAAGGAGCTAAGGTAAGCTGGACTTCAATGTCAAATGTGTTCACTAAAGTTAGGTTTTCTGAATACCTTCTGAACTCCACAGATATATTTTCCAGACAGGGAAAGGAGAAGTGGGGGAACAAAAAAAAAAAAAGTGCTAAGTAAAGCTCAGTATTTTCAAAGTACTTTCAGATCTTCCTGTGGACAACAGAAGTGTAATTAAAGCCAAATCAAAATACTTATAGCTTGCAATTAGCCAATTCGAAAATGAAAGTGAAATGTTCCAAGGACAAATGGGAAAGCTGTTCTGATGGGAAAACACACTCTCAGTGGATTACAAGAGGGGAAATTCTCTGTAATGTAATAGCTATTCTGAACATTCTCCAAAAATATTTTAAAATCTATTTTTAAGGCCAACGACTATTTAGAGCCTTGGGGATCACCGTAGAATTTTCCTCTTTTTCACAGAAGATTGGTTTCTCATAGCTTCAAAAGGTGGCAAAGAGAAGAAAAGCGATGCCTTACAGCTCAGGGTTTTCATACGTGTACGTACAGGGCAGGCTGAGGGTGCTGCTCGAAACGCAGCCCCGCGAGGCATCGCTCCGAGCGGCGGCCGGCCAGGACGGGGCCGAGCGGCACTGCGGCCCCGGCCCGCGCGCAGCGGGCGCTTCCGAAGCGACAGCCACAGCAATAAAATGTGTTCAATGAGCAACTCACCTGAGGCAAGGCATACAAAAGCCATTATTTTCACCCTCTGAATAGGGCATTCCACTGAAACATGTGTACATAACTCCTACTAGTTTCAAAGGCGACAAAAATGTATAGAATACATCTATTCTTCAAAATGTATTTTGCAGCAAAGAAGTTACTAAACATACAAAGAATTCCATTGTCATGCTTGGAAAAAGACAGACTTCAGAGTGGATACTAGCAAAACCCTGGACTACAGGAACAATTACAGTTATAAAAGCCAAAGAAAGACGCACATGACTTTTCGCCTATAATATCTATTTATTTCATTATACACACCAAATGCTCTACTTTGCTGTGTTCCTGCACACACTGCCGCACAAATGCACCATTGCTAATAACTGTCAGAGCAGTAGAAGTTTCCAATGGGAAAGCAGCAGCAGGCACAAAGCAAATGGAGCAAACGCACTATGCAGCACTACCCAGAGGCTTCCACCAACAGCACAGCAAGTCTTTCTGTTCCCTTTGTATCAACTGCTGTTCTGGATTAAAAATACCTTCTTGAAGGTACACGTATTAAAATAGAAAGCAAAACGATAATTATGCAAAGCTTATTTTAGCTATCAGTGTGTCAATGTGACTTTCTCAGAACAATGTCTGTACATCATCACTTTGACTCACACATTCATTAGTCTGGTTAAGCCAAAACTATTTTCTCAAATACTTGTTTTCCTTCAGGTTTTTGTTAAAAAAATGAAGGAAGTATTTACAAAAACCTAAAGGAATTATTTACAAAAATCCCAAGCAACAGTTATTTGAAGTATTTGAGCTTTTTTTGAAGCAAGATCACTAGCAGCTTTTCTGCTGCAATAATATATGGCTGCTAGCGTGTAAGCAGTGGATCTGATATAACATGACAGTTCAGTTTCTCAGGGAGAAATATTATTTCTTATTAACCTCACACATCTACTATTAGCATTTATACTAGATGGAGAGAGGAGGAGAAAAAAGAAGAGATTTTCCATTTTAACAGCAGAGGAGTAGTGATAACCTACTAAAGGGCATAAGCAAAGGAAGGCCTGTGCTGACACTGCTTGCCATTTCAGGCAGCTCATTTTGCAGTGTCAGCTGTTTTCACTACTATTTAGTGGCCTTACCCTTCTGGCACACAACATGCATTTCTGGCTTAGCCTATCCAAAATTAAAAGGGCAACTGCTTTGCTGTTACAGAGGCTCCTAAATCTTAGCTCACATTACTAAAACACATTGCACGCCGTTAAGAGCACGTCCACAGCCCTCTGAACTAGTGTGACAAACAGTCAGGAGGAGGGCAGGAGGAAACTGCTGCTCTGTTTACCCAAACCACACCGATTTGCCTTATGCCTTTGACACCCTCCATTTCCCACCAGTGCTCATCACTGTGGTGTTTGCACGTCAACAGACCGCCTTGCTCCTCAGCGCTCTCCTCTTCCTCCTCCTGCAACCGCTGGTGCTAGACAAGGTGAAGCGTCTGAGCGCTGCTCTCTCCACTAATCGAACGAGTTTTTGGGGCACAAGAGCCTGTGCTGAGCAGAGTCCTCCAAGCCGGGAGCAAAGCGGGAGAGCGACAGGAGGGATTTCAGTCGCTGGGGTCTCAACAGCAGTGACACTGCAGCCACCCTGTGACAGGGCCACCAAGGAGGGCAGCGCTCCACCAGACCCACAGGCTAAACTGGCTGGCTGGGAGCAAGGGAGAGGGGACACGCTGGGAGCTGGGCTTCCCTTCAGCAGCGGCAGCTTCTCCAGCTCGAAGGGCCTGCACAAGCACAGAGGAGGTGGAGGCTCTCCCTATGATCCCCAGAACTCATTATCTCTGCCACCACCAGCCTTCTACCACACTCTACCCTACGGGAAAGATCAACTCTGTAATGAGCCACTCCACCAGGATGTGTTTAGCAGAGCAAACGTTCCTCCCAACTCTTTATCAGGGCTTTTTCACTCAGACCACCTGCAAAACAACTCCTGCAGGGTCACCTGCCCTGCGAATGCGTGATCCTAACCTGCAAAGGGAGGCAAGGGAAGCTGCAAGAGCCACACTTCTGCTATGACCGTTTAGCATCACTCCCCCTGCCACTCCAGTTACGCTGCCAGCAGACAGAGCCACTCAAAGCTGCACCAAGACACAAGGACACGAAGGCTGCTGTACTCTAAAGCTTTCCACGGATTTGAAAGAATAAAGGCAAAATGTTTCCTCTATCTCTCCCTGTTTCTAGCAAGAAAAAAAAAAACAGCATTAGAAAGCAACAGAGCCAACTGGATCTATTCTCATGCATTTCAAACTTAAGTTGTATCACCAGTCTAAGCCAGTCACTGCATAATTACTCAGGTTACACTTAGCACACTCACTTACCATACAGCCTAAGGATGCCAGACTATCAAAAGCCAAAGAATCATCCAGACAGAACAGTGACTAGAACATAGATTTCAGCCTGGATTTTTTCCCATAAAGGAACTGAAACACAATGTCAAAAACAGCACGTGTCTTAAGTGGTTCATCCAAATTTCCCCTAACCTAAATTTAGTGTGACCCAATCACAAAATGACTACCCTTTCCTGATTTAAATCTGCTCTCAAAACCCCATGTTGACTTGAAAGCTCAAAGTCCCACATCAATCAACCCACTGACTTACAATTATTTTTGTGTGTGCCCAACTCCTTTTCTCCACATTTGGATATTCTGTTTTAACTTAAAAGTTCCAACCTCTTGGGGCAGAAAATATGTCCATCAACGTGACTGTCGACTGACAGGCACAAGGGGGCCCTTATCTGTAAGTGGACCTCACACTCTGATTACAGTGTCACAATAAAGCAAGTAACAGCACTGCTGTAGACGAGGAAATTGCACTGAGTGCTGCAATTCTGGTTACATTTCCACTTTGACATTCATGAGACATTTTTGACATTCCAGTTTTACTTCTCCCTGGGAATGGGCCACCTTCCCCAGCCTGACATTCCCAGGCACATTTCCTAGACAAAGGAATGTACCAGCATGTACTAACTCCAGGAAGATTTAACGCTCTGAACTTCCTGAAATGTCATTGTTACACTTCTTCTCAAGCAAAGGTCACATAGCATTGTTTAAAGATATCTTCAGGTGGGAAAGAAGCAATAACTTTAAAAGAAAAATATACATAAATAAGAAAAATGTCTTACCTAATGAGGTAACAGCACTTTCTACTTTCCCAGTTAGGAAGAGATTCACTGTGTAAAGACAGAAAAATAATGCTCAAACAGATTGCATTTATATAAGGACACAGTTAGTAGTTAACCATTTCTAAACAATTCCCGCAGTGCTAATATAAATTATTTGCATTCTTCCAACAAAAACCTTGCTCAACCACATTGACAATTCACATAATCAGCTGTTATCCTTCACTGTAGCTATAAAAAAGCCAACAAAGAATATTGGTTCAATACCCGCCAAATACACCACTAAGGAAGTGGCTGCCAATCTGCTCACAATTGTCTTCTGTGGCTTTTTCTCTTTCTTTTCTCTAATTGGGGAAGACAGAAGAACAATTCCACTAAAACATCCATAATCACTGCCAGTCACTTTACCTGCTTAAGCACTGAAAAATAATTACTGAGATTACTATCTTCAAATTTCTCTGAATAAAACAAAGTTTGTTTCTCTCAGGTAAATGTCACCTTGAAAATAAACCCTGAAAACTAACAGGATTAACTTGACTAATCAAAAGCAATGAAGTTTTCAAAGGGGTACACTGACAAAAACAAAGCAGGATGAGAAGATGCTGCAAAATCCTTACAAATTACTCCCTGAGTACTCTTAATTTTTCTCAGATTTTTTTCTCTCTACTCACAGTATATACCTACTGGAGCAAACTAACAAAAGTTGTTATCGCCTAAAAAATATTTCTCCTAGGCCATCGTTACTTCAGAGGTCAGTGTAATATGTAGCTGCATATTAGTTTCCTCTTTGAGGCACTTCTCTATTGGCCAGAGTGTGCTTCACCAACTGCTCACACTTATGCCGTGTCTTTATAATCTACACAGACAGCTTAATAACAACATGAGAAATGTTAAAACAAATTTAAAAGGTCTAAAAAGTGACCAAAACTTAATTTATATCATCCCAGACAAACACCCTGGCTTAATTTTGCATGTGTTAAATCCTAAATCTTTTTATAGAGCATCTGCCAGCAAGCATTTAATAAGGAGCATCATTAGAAACGAGCAGCAGAAAAGAGACGCTGCCCCGGCCGGCGGCGGCGCTGGGGAGCCGCTCACAGTTCACACCATCCACACGGCAGCAGCGCGGCCGGACACGGGCCCGCGCTGGGACACGCTCCAAGCACTGCAACACGGTGACCCCATGCCTGCCCCTCCTGCGAGGGCTCAAACCAGCGCACACCAAAACGCAGCACTTGACAACGAGGGGGGTGGAAACAGAGGAGCTAAAAACAATTCCTTTTTTTTTTTTTTCCCTCTCCTTGACAGTTTGAGGCCAATCACAGTTTTTCCTCACTTACAGAGATGAACTTTTACCAAATCCTGGCAACTCAAACGCCTTCAGTGATCCTTCAGTGAGTCGCACGTAGATGTCCGGTTTGGACTCCTTCCTTCCTGATCCCACACATCCAAGAGCTAAATACGGACTTGATTTCAACACAACTGTAAACAGCTCAGGCTGAGACCAGCTCTTCCAAACCAAAGCAGAGGCTGTTAGTTAGGATCTCAGCATCCCTAACTACAGAAAATTCAAATGATCAAATTAGTGATTTTGGGATATTACCACAGATGCAAGGGGGAACAAAACTTTGGTTCCCTTTAAATCACAGAATCTGGCCTAACTCCCCTGCTCAAGCAGGGAAAATGAACTTTCAGCCTCGCAGGAGGGAAGGCGGCAGCTGAACGCCAGCGTTGTGTGCGCTGCGGCTTAAGAGGCAGGCGCGAGGTGCAGCTCTACGTTACCAAGCACGAGCACTACCTCTGCTGCACAGCCCCGGACAGCAGCGCTGTGCTCAGGGGCACGGGCACTGCTGCACAGCCCCAGACAGCAGCGCTGTGCTGCAATAGCAGGACGCTGCAGAGCTGCTCCAGGCGGGCCCCCGTGGCACCAGGAGCCACACGGCGAGTGCTGCTGCGGGCCGCACTCGTAACCGCCGCTGTGCCGCAAAGCGCCGCCCCGCGCCACAGGAATCCCCCACACGGCAGCATCGGCCACACGGGATCTTCTCACGCAACATCCAAGCACCGCTGTCCCTGTAACCATAGCGACTGAGTCATCAAGACTACAAGGGAATTAACCAGCGACTGTCACAAATTGGATTTTAGGAAAATTAAAACATGTTGTTTGTCTCCAAAGTGAGCCCAAGATACATAAACATATTGTACATAACTCAAAAGGCTTGTTTGAAGGTGCATTACATGAAAACAGACGGGTCTTTTCCTGGCAGGCTGCTTCCCATTTCCCACCCGACACCCTGGGAGCACCTGCCTGAAGCCCCGCGCGTCCCCTGGAAGACATCGCAGCACCCAGACAAGGGGAGTGAGCGAGGAACAAGCTGACTCAGAGTCACGTTACCTTCTTTGGAGGACGCTCCAACACTCTCAGTTTGGTAGCGAAAGATAAAGCGCAATAGGCAGCTTCGCACAGAGGGCCTGGCAGATACCAAAAGATCCTCCCCATACACAGAAAATGTTGTTATTACAGTCATGCAAAAGCCAAACATGTGTTGGCTGCTGCATGCAAGCAGCTCTGCTCTCATTTCAAATTCTTTTACGCTAAGGCAGCAGTCAAGCAGCTCTCTAAATACAGCCCAAGTTCATGTCAGGTCCTTTCCTCAACAAGCAAATAACTGTACTGTTTGCAGAGCATCTTCTTCCCCCCCCCAAGACTCTGAGCTCAAAAACGTGAGAGCTCTCCAAACTAGCATCTTCCGAAGCACTCAGCTCTCAAGCGTCAAAGCCCAGAAAAAACAACAACTATAGCCTGTTAGTTTTCTTGTCCCTTGTCAAAACAAAGTCATGAAGCAGAAGTCAGGGATACATTAGAAAGTTCTCTAGACGCTCCTGCTCCTAGCAGTTGAGAGCAGTTGTGGGACCGCCACAGAGGGCAGAGGCAGAGGCTCGGCTGGCGCACACCCAGCGCAGGGAACTCGCATCCTTCCCTTCCCCAGGGGGAGCTTTCCAGTAGGAAAGCAGGCACTGCTCACATCAAAAGGGCAACTTACACTTTGCATCCTGGAGACAAACGACAGCTGTCACTCTTGCTCCTCAGCCACAAGCCACAAACTTCACTATTTCGACATTTTTCCTATGTGATAATGTCCCAAACCCACCCGTCATCCTCAAAAACGAGGCACAAAATGGCTTCACGAAGGAAACATGCCCAGTCCCGGTCTCCGGAGCAGCAGTTTGTAGCCAAAGTCACGTAGAGTGGCACTGCGCCCATGCAGACATCAAACACCACAAATCGCCACGGGAAAACCAGCAGTGTAAAAAGGCGGTGAGCGGGAACCGACAACAGAGCTGCAAGGACAAGCGCGAGGCGAACCCCGGCAGCAGCGGGGGGAGCAGCGCGGCGCCCCGGGGCCGCCGAGCACAGCACCCTGCAGCTCCCCAGCCCCGACCGGCTGCGAGAGACAGGGTCAGGCTGCCCAGCTGAAGGAGGAGGCAGGCACGGAGACTGCGGACGTCACAGAAAGCAGAAGTCTGTACAACTCTCAACTTCCCGCTAGACAAGCCAAAATTCAAGAAATATTCTCCCTTCGATGCCGGAGTTTATATAATCCTTGAATATGATATCAGTCATTTTAAGAACAATTGAGCTCTGTCTCTTAAATACACAGGCGCTTTAACAAGGTCAGGCTTGGCCAGGAGAAAACCCTCAAGGGATTGGAGAGCTGGCTGAAGCTGGATGCAGGGCTCCGCACAGCGCGGCAGACCCTCGGCGCGGGGCAGGACTAATTCCCAACCCCGTATTCCCGCCGGTTTACGTAAGGTCGGCTATGGCCGTTAGGGGTTACCGGGAAGGCGCCGCCCGCCGCTCCGGCCGCCGCAGGGTCCCGGCGGGCAGGGCCGCTCCGCTCCGCTCCGCGGCGCGCGGGGCCCCCGGCAACTTTCGGCAACTTGCAGCAGTAGCAGCCGCCGCGGGCTCCGGGCCAGCCCGGCCGCAGGCTGCGGCGGTCCAGCCCGCACCGCGAAGGTCCCGGCGGCGACACGGGCAGCCGGCA